CCCGGGATCGAGTCCCGCATCGGGCTCCCTGCTCGGCGGGGAGTCTGCTTCTCCCTCTGACCCTCCCCCCTCTCATGTGCTCTCTCTCTCAAATAGATGAATGGAATCTTTAAAAAAAAAAAAGAAGAAGAAGTCCCAAGGAAATGTTTTTTCAAACTGTCAGATTTCTGCTGAAATCTGTCAGAAAGCTTTTCCCTACCTTCCGATTGGAGAAGTGACATTGGCCGGCAACAGTGCAGTGAGGAGAGTTCTGTCTACCGAAAATAGAGGTAGAAATATGGCTTTATCCCAGAAAGATTCCTATTCATTACATGTACTTATGTCTGAGCCCCAGCTTCTCTGTTTGTTTAGGGAAAGAGACCAGACTTCTTGGATCTTAAAAGCCCAAATGACTGGCATCTTTACCTCTCTTCTGATTCGGCTTGAAAAAGTCTAAGACACCTGACGTGGCCAGTGATATTGCCCTAATACCACCACCCAGGGAAAAGCATTAATATTAGAGACTTATCCTCCCAAACTCTGTTCCTGTGTGTATTTCCAAAATGTTTTATCCCCCCTAAAAGGCTACCATGTGCCCATTAAATAGTTACTCCCCATCCTACTCCCTCCAGCACCTGGCAGCCACAGTCTGCATTCTGTCCCTACGCATTTACGTGTTCTGGATGTTTTTCGTGGAATAAGTATCATGTGACCTTTTGTGTCTGGCTTCTTTCACTTAGCATAGTGTTTTCAAGGTTTATCCATGTTGTAGCTTGTGTCAGCACTTTGTTTCTTTTTATGGCTTTATATTATCCCATTGGATGGCTAGACCACATTTTGTGTATTTGTTAGTTCCTGGACATTTAGGTTGTTTCCACCTCTTGGCTATTGTAAAGAGTACTACTATCAACATGTGTACGTACTTGAGTATTTGTTTTCAGTTCTTTTAGGTATATACCCAGGAGTGGAGTTGCTGAGTCATTTTATGTTTAACTTTTTGAAGAATTGTCAAACTTTTCCGCTGATGCCCCATTTTATATTCCCACCAGCAATGTACAAGGGCTCCAATTTCTCCAGATCTTCTCTAACACTTGTATTTTCCTTTTTTCTTTTTTACTCTAGCCATCCTAATAAGTGTGAAGTGCTAGCTCATTGTGGGTTGGATTTACATTCCCCTGGGGACTCATGATGGTTATCGCCTTCATGTGTATGTTGGCCATTCGTGTATCTTCTTCGGAGAAACGCCTATTCAAATCCTATGCCCGTTTTTTAGTTGTGTTCTTCGTCTTTTTATTGTTCAGTTGTGAGGGTTCCTTCTATATTCTAGATACTAACCCGCTCTCAGATATATGCAGATATTTTCTCCTATCCCGTAGGTTGTCTTTTCTGGAGAAAGTGTGTTGAGGCACAAAAATTTTAATTTTGATGAAGTCTGCTTTTTCTATTTTTCTTTTATTCCTTATACTTTTGGTGTCATATCTAAGAATCCAGTGCCAAATCTAAGGTCATGAAACTTTTCCCCCTTATGTTTTCTTCTAAGAGTTTTACAGTTTCAGCTCTTACATCCATTTTGAGTCTTCCATACATTTTGAGTTAATGTTTATATATGACGTGAGGTCTCAGTTCGACTCCATCCTTTTTGCATGTGGATATCTAGTTGACCCGGTGTCCTTGGTTGAAGAGACTATTCTTCCAGCTGTTTGTTGTGTTATCTTCACTACTGGTAAGAAGAGACAAGTCTTGGCACCCTCATCAAAAAGCAGTTGGCCGTCGGCATCTGGTTACTTTGAATTGCCTTTGGCCATCGGGACTCCTTCGTCTCCTCCATCTGCCAGTTTGTGGGTCTTCCCTCATCCTTCCTGTCTTGACACTTTTCAGACTACTGCTTAGGAATTTTGTAGAGTGTCTCTCAGTTTGGGTTTCTTTGATGTTTTCTCATCCTCCCCACCAAGCCGCTTTTAACTCCAGAAGAAATAGGCAAAAGTCATTATTTTTTTCGATATAACGCAGCGTCTCACAGAAAACACGCCTTCCTGTTTCTGGCTTTCTCAGTCGGGCATTATAGTAACTCATGAGATGCTGAGGTCTGCGTGGAAAGATCTTGCTCAGGTGCTTTATCACTGTCGCCGTTTTGGAGGTTCATTCCCCTGAGGAGGCTCCCCTCCTTACAGGTAAGCAGAAGTTGTAGAACTACAGCCTCCAGTGGAAAGATTCGTTGTGGGGAAAATGGTAAACAGAATAGACTTTGGAGATCTGGTGATAATGATGTTTTCTACTTTTTCTTCTCAAAGTGATACTTCGTTTGTTTTATTTTATTCATAATTACAACACATGTTGAATACAGGAGATAGGTAAGCTGAAAAAAAAAATCACCTGTAAACACCCATAACCCAAAAATGGGTCCTTTTCTAAATACACATATATGTTTATGTGCTTTTTTTTTTTTTTTACAAAAATTAACATTACACATTAAAAACCAAACTTCTCTTTTCATCTAATATGTAGTGAACATCTTTCCATTTTTCTACAAAGATAAATCTCTTCAGCATCATTTTTAATACCGTGTAGGGTTCCCGGCTCCTGTTGTTCAGTTGTTTCTAACTTTTCCCTGTTATAAAAAAAACTACCACAACAAACACCATGGAATTAGTTAAATCCTCGATTTTTTTCTTAGGATAAATGCATCATTCTTTTCCCCCCACAGATATTTTTACTGCTCCTCCGGGCCCTGCAGCTCCAGACCCGACTGGTGCTGTCTCTCCAGCCGCTTCCTCTGAAGTTACCCACAGCAAAGGTGGGGTTCTCCTAAAAGGCAGTTGGCTCAGCAGGGAGGGAGAAATTACCAGACTTCCAAGAAAAAAATTGGTCATTGGACTATTTTTACGGGTTGGCATTCATGGAGCGTGGGCCCCTTGGAGCCTGCCTTGCTCACCCCTGTGTTGGGAAGACTGGACACCAGTGGGCCTCCAGCAGCCTGAGCCTGGCATGCACAGAGGGCCCCGAGGGAGGGCCTGGCTCCCGGGTGGGTTAGTTTCGGCCTTGTGATGCAGCAGATTGGCCCCGTCCTCCTGCTCCTTGGCCGTGTGGAGTGGTAAGGGGTAAGGGACTCTGTGTTCTGCTGTCATCTAAGGAGGAGGCTCAGCACTAGACTCGCCGTGCTGTCAGCACCGTCTGAAACTTAGTGGTCCAGAGGATTTAATTCCGTATTCTTAAAGCTGCAAGTTTATTAAGTCCATCAGTATTTGCTCGCAAGATACGTTATGTGTGAGGTGGGTATTATTGCCAAGGAAACTGAGACTCAGAGGTTTACACATAAGTAATAAATATTTGAGAAAATGTAAATAAACATATATATTGTTGACTGAAACCACATAATGAATGAGAAGCAGAACTGGAGATGGAACCCAGGTTGGTCTGTTTCCCTTGCTGCCCCCACTCCCCTCCCCGAGCCAGGCGCTAGAGTGGAAGGAGTACACTGTGGCTTAGCTAAGATGCCACAGATTTTAGTGAATACATTCTTACATTCCTAAAGGATTGCCAGCTCGACTCTGTCTGAGCTGGGGACATCCTGTGTATGCTGGTTCTGTAGCCAGTGACTTAGCCCTGGCAGATTATAGGATCTCTATCATATCATGAGCACAAAAAGAAAAAACAAAATTTCCTGTTCTATTTAAGGGAAAGAAAGCTGCCAAGGAGACATCTGCAGAAGATCCTGGGGGCTCCTTGGAAACTTGCAGCCCAGTTCCAGAAAGCCAAACCAAACCCAAGACCAGCCAAGGAACCAGACAGGAGGCCACGTCTTCTAAGGGCCCTGGAGGTCCAAGTACCAAAGGGAAGAGGAGCAAGGCAGCCGCGGCCAAGAAGAAACGGAGAGAGCCCTCCTCCAGTGGGGAAGAGCACAAGGCGGGAGGGCGGCAGGAGGACACCCAGAGACGTCGGCCTGGCCGGGAGCGGCAGGTGGCCTCCAAGGTGTCTTATAAAGAAGAGAGTGGGAGTGACAAGGGCAGCAGCGGCTCTGACTTTGAGCTCTCCAGCGGGGAAGCCCCTCATTCATCTGATGAGGATTCTGAGCCTGGCCTTCCCAGACAGAGGAGGGCTCCAGCCCCCCAGAGGACAAAGGCAGGGTCCAAGAGTGACTCCAGGACCCAACGTGGAAGGCACCCTCAGCACCCCAAGCACCCTAGCTTTCCAGCAGCATCCACGAGCTCTTCAAGCAGTAAGAGTAAGCGAGGCAAGAAAATCTCCAGTGATGGTGAGGGGGCAGAAAGAGAGAAAGCAGCTGGTGTAGACCAGTGGCTAGAGGTGTTCTGTGAGCAGGAGGAAAAGTGGGTGTGTGTGGACTGTGTGCATGGTGTGGTGGGCCAGGCTCTGGCCTGTTACAAGTATGCCACCAAGCCCATGACCTACGTGGTGGGCATCGACGGTGATGGCTGGGTCCGGGATGTCACCCAGAGGTACGACCCAGACTGGATGACTGTGACCCGCAAGTGCCGGGTTGATGCCAAGTGGTGGGCTGAAACCCTGAGACCATACCAGAGCCCGTTGGTGGAGAGGGAGAAGAAGGAAGACTCAGAGGTAAGGTCTGCTGTGGGCTCAAAGGCCCATCTTGGTGCCCCTTGTATATGCCCGGCCCCGTGTGAGGGTATCACAATACTTTAGACCCGGGATGACTATTGCCTTAATTTTACCAGTTAAAAATGGAGGATCTGAGAGATTAACTGCCTTGGTATTTGAACCCACATCTATCAGGCTTCAAAGCCGTTATACAGCATACTTTTAGTTATTGCCTAGTTGTAAATTTGGAGCTTTAAAATATGTATGCAATCATATAAATTGCACTGAGTGAAAGAAGAAAAAACTCAGGAATGCAATGGCCATCTGTCCCCCCGCCCCGCTTGAGCCCCGAGTGCACGCTCACAGAAGCACACACGGACATCCCTTCTTGGATCTAGAACACTCGTCTCCTGGGGAGAAAGGGACTCGGGAGGGCGCACAGGGAAGCAGACTGCTAAAGCAGTACAGTGTGTGCTAGGACCGCCCACTGACCCGAGCTCCTTGTGCACGGCAGTCGCGTGGGGTGGAGCTCAGCATTTGCCCGGATTTGCTCATGAATGATGCCCACTTTGTTGGGGCAGGTGAAGCCTGGGTTTATTTAGCGTCCCCCGTAGCAGTACAGTTCCCCAGTTCCGGTGCGTTGAGAGGGGCTGTTCCTGGTTCATTTTACTTAGATGTGACTGGGTGAGTGGGAATTGTGCAGATGGTGTCACGACTGACTATTTGAGGTGGAAGCTGCCCGAGCTTGGCCAGTCTGCTCTCATCTGCTGGGGCTGTTTGAAGAGATGCCAGGAGAGCTCAGGAGACCTTGATGACTAGCATGTGACTTACCGCAGTGGAATTGTCCACTGAGAAATCAGAGTCCTGAAAGAAGTGCCGAGAGAACGAGTGTTCCTCACAGGGGACTAAGGAGAGTTACACGGCGCGAACGGCCCATTTGAGGTTCCCAAGCAGGATCAAGTAGGCCCGCATTGCAGAGGACGGAAGGCCTTCTTCCTGCGGAAAACCGTGTGTCCTCCCTGAGGGCTAGGTCTGAGACCGAGAACGAGTAGGTTAGATGACTTTCCACAGTTGCCACAGGCCACAGGATCCCATGCTTTATCTAAAACCTGCCTAGTACCAGACTACAGACGCTATGTTACAGTCACTGGTGCTCGCGAACCCTCTGCTCCACTGTTCCCTGCACAAGGTGGTCGAGGGAATGGCCCGCCTCAGACTTCACCTCCTCTTCCAAACATGCTCAGCGTTGTCTCTCTGGTCTTTGCAGTTCCAGGCAAAGCACCTGGGCCAGCCTTTGCCGACTGTCATTGGCACATATAAGAACCACCCTCTGTACGCGCTGAAGAGGCATCTCCTGAAATACGAGGCCATCTACCCTGAGACAGCCGCGATTCTTGGCTATTGTCGTGGAGAAGCGGTCTACTCCAGGTGCGTGAGGCAGCCAGGTGGCCCTGTGGGCTTCCCGCTGGCCTGGGACTAGCAGCCTTCTGCGGGAGGGGCTGCTTACGTCAGCCCTTTTGTCAAACGGGATGAGCTGTGTGGTGTGTGTGTGGGTGTGTGCGCACACCGTCCCATGGGGCGCACATGTAGAAGGGATTCTAGTTTGAAGATGAAAACCACAAGGGTTAAAAGACCAGCACGTGCAAAAAAGTTATGGGGGAAAAATTAAAAGTATGACAAGGTTTATATGGGACCATAGAAAATACACCCCTAAGATGTAAGTTAACAAAACTACAAAAGGAGGGAATACAAGATTTGATCATGAAAATTAAAGGGAGCAGATGTCTTAATGGGGACAGGGCTTCTGTTTGGGAAGATGGAAAAGTTCTGGAGGTGCGTGGTGGGGACAGTTACTCAACAGTGTGAATGTACTTAATGCCACTGAACTGCACACCTAGAAATGGTTAAGATGGTACATTCTGTGTATATTTTATCCACACTAAAGAAAATTGCCAAAGAAGAGGGGAAGGGAATAAGAGTTAGAAGAAGAATGTAAGATATATACAAAATTTAAACAAAAGAAATTTTTTTTTTTTTTAAAGATTTTATTTATTTGAGACAGAGAGAGAGAGAGCACATGAGAGGGGGGAGGGTCAGAGGGAGAAGCAGGCTTCCTGAGGAGCAGGGAGCCTGATGCGGGACTCGATCCAGGGACTCCAGGATCATCACCTGAGCCGAAGGCAGTCGCTTAACCAACTGAGCCACCCAGGCGCCCCAAAAGAAATTTTTTTAAGATTATTTACTTATTGAGAGAGAGCGTGCGCATGTGAGAACGTGCAAGCAGGGTGGGGGCAGAGGGAAAGGGTTTCAAGCAGATTCGCTGCTGAGCACAGAGCCCAAAGCGGGGCTCCATCTCACAACCCTGAGATCATGGCCTGAGCCAAAATCCAAAGAGTCAGACACTTAACCGACGGCACCACCCAGGCGCCCCTAAAACAAAAAATCTTGGGGCGCCTGGGTGGCTCAGTCATTAAGCATCTGCCTTCGGCTCAGGTCATGATCCCAGGGTCCTGGGATTGAGTCCCACATCGGGCTCCCTGTTCAGCGGAGAGCCTGCTTCTCTCCCTCTCCCACTCCCCCTGCTTGTGTTTACTCTCTTGCTGTGCCTCTGTCTGTCAAATAAATAAAATCTTAAGGTGAGAGAGAAAAATAGAAGCAGAACTTTTAAGAAAAATGGCAGTAGAAAGAAATTACAATGGAATACTACTCAGCCATCAAAAAAATGAAATCTTGCCACTTGCAGTGACATGGAGGGAACTAGAGGGTATTAGGCTAAGTGAAAAAGTCAATCAGAGAAAGACAGTTATATGATCTCACTGATATGTGGAATTTAAGAAGCAAAACAGGATCATAGGGGAAGAGAGGAAACAATAAAACAAGACAAAATCAGGGAGACAAACCATAGGAGACTCTTAATCATAGGCAACAAACTGAGGGTTGCTGGAGGGGAGGGGCATGGAGGGATGGGGTGGCTGGGTGACGGGCATTAAGGAGGGCATGTGATGGAATGAGCACTGGCTATTATTATATAAGACTGATGAATCACTGACCTCTACCTTTGAAACTATTAATACATTATATGTTAATTAATTGAATTTAAATAAAATGTGCCTCAAAAAAACAAAACAAAATGATAACTAAAAGAAGTGGGTTTTTAAAACACTGGAATGAGAGACCAAAAAATAGAGTAGAGGGTATTCTTAATAACCAGGACAAGAGAGAGAAAACAAGGCAACAGGGAAATCACAGGAGTAGGTGGTTCAAGGGCTCTGAGTGGGTGCAGCCCACCTCCTGCGTGCAGCCCTGCAGGGACCCAGCCTACACCCTCTGTTCAGGGTCTGTGGCTGAGCTTTCTGTTCCGTGTCAGGAGGCATCAGGCCTGGTCAGGGCCTCAGCTGCCAGCAGTCAGAGGCCCCAGGGCCCAGTCCCCCTGGTAGAGGTCGTAAGGCTCAGGCGTAAGGCACAGGTGGTTGAGGCAAAGCAGGCCGGTCGGAAGGAAGCAGGTGTGGTCCACAGGGACCACCACGTCAGTCATCGGAGAAAGCATTAGAGGTAGACAGTTTTTTTGGTAGTAAAATATACAAAACCAAGTGTGCCATGTAACCATTTGTAAGCATACAGTTCAGTGGTGTTAAGTACATGGACTGGATCGTACAACCATCCCCACCGTCCGTCTCCAGAACTTCTTCATCTTCCCAAGCGGAAACTCGGTCCCCATGAAACAGGATCTCCCCCCTCCCCCGCAGCCCCTGGCGGCCACCATGCCGCTGTCTGGGCATTTGACTCCTTTGGGGACCTTATGTAAATGCAATCGTGCAGTATTCGTCCTTTGGGGACTGGCCTCCAGGGACGGGCACTTGCGGTGCTTCCCCTTTCGGCTGTGGTGAGCAGTGCCGCTGCGAACGTGGGTGCACACATACCTCTTTGAGATTCTGCTGTCACTTCTTTTGGGTGTATATGCCCAGAAGTAGAATCGCTACTCGCATGGTAATTCTGTGTCTCACTTTTTGAAGCCTCAACCTCCTGCCTTCCGCAATGCCTGCCTTGTTTTCCGGTCCTACCAGCAGCATGCAGGGATGCCAGTTTCCCCCACCCTCGCCCACGCTTCCTTTCGGGTTTTTGGATAATAGCCGTCCTCATGGGTGTGAAGTGGTTAGAAGTTGAGGTTTATCCTGACGGGGCTGTGTCCACTTCCCTGCTGTGCTCCTTGGAATGTCCTGACAGTGCCCGCCTGCCTCCCCCCCGCGCCCCCACGTGAAGACCATGACCGTGACGTAATTGCTCCTCTGGGTGATCAGAGCTGTGCAGCCTGCCGGGGGTGCCAGCCCTGACAGGACAGGCTCTGCTCCAGCACCCGGGCAGCGTCTGGTCTTCCTGCAGCCCGGCAAAGCACAGAGGACAGAGCTCATTATCCCTGGCTGATAGAGGGTGCCGCTGAGGCTCAGGAAGGGACAGTGGCTTGTGCGGGGTCCCCCCGCCAGGCCGTGGCACGAGGAGGTGTGCACCGCATGCCTCCGATGGGGCCGGAGCCGGAGGGCCTGCTCTGCGCACGGGAGCCCTCTCTCTGGCCAGAGTGCAGGGCTGCGGACTGAGGAAGAGATGAGCGTGCCCTGTCGGAGAAGGCTCAGCGAGGACGGCAGGTGGAACTCTTTGGAAAGTGGCCTTGCAAGGCCGGGTACAGCTCTTAGCTGTGGAAGGAGAGCGGAGCCAGAGGCTCTGTCTGTAATCACAGGCTGCCGGGAATCGTGACTGCCACGGGCGCGCATCTTCATTCCGTGGTCACTCAGTAGCTCGTGGTTCCAGTGTAAGTGGATACATCCCCGAGAAGATAGGAAGTCCAGGTTAGCCGTTCGCCCACCACAGGTCCCCTGCTTCCCTCAGGAGCCGGGCCTGAGGAGAGAATCGAGGGCCGAGCCCTTCCTTCTGGGAGGCTGCGCGCACAGCTCCTTCAGCCCGGTGTGAACTGAGTGTGTCCTGTGTCTCCCCCTGTTGGCTCCCGCAGGGATTGCGTGCATACCCTGCACTCCCGGGACACGTGGCTGAAACAGGCGAGAGTGGTGAGGCTGGGAGAAGTGCCCTACAAGGTAACCATGGCGGGCGCCCTGCAGGCAGAGGCCTGGGCACTGAGGGCTGCTGAGGGCAGGCGGGGAGAGGCATCCAGGGCTGACTTTTCTGGCTTGAGAAAAACTGGAGGAAGCGAAAAGCATTCAAATATGTCTTACTCTAATGGGGAATTTGTAAGATGGATCTTTCAGAGCAAGCAAGACATGTGACACTTAAGGGTTGTAAAACAGGCTGCACGGGACCCTTTCCAGAAAAATGTGCCGAGCCCTGCGCTAGAGGCGCCCAGTGCGTCTGTCCCACTCCTCCTTGGAGCACTTAGGCAGCCTTCTCGCTCGTCCTCCCCAGTGAGACTTTTGGCCACTAGACATGGTCGGGGAGTGTGCAAGGAGTCCTAAGCTGTCAGTGCCTTCCAGAATGCACGACGCAGCTAGTTCCCGGGTTTAAATCCTGGCCCTGTCACTCACCTGGCCATGGGATTTCAGTGACTTCATCTCCGAGTCCCAGTCACCCTGTCTGTGATGAAAGTAGGGAGCGTGGTGTGGCGGGTAAAAGCCTGGCTCCGCACTGCGCTGTAGGCAGAAAGTTTGCAGCTCCCGGGTCGCTCATCTGGCTGTGCAGTGGAGACGGCGATGGGACCCCCTTGCCGGGCACAGCCTGGGGCAGGGAGCGTCTGCAGGTGTTGGCTAGCGGTGGCCGTCCCCGGGGTCGCGCTGGTACTGGGCCCGGTAAGGGGGTCAGAGGCACGTGCATCTCGGGTCCGTTGTGGAGGTGAAATGAGGCCATGGGTTTAGGAAAGCCATCAGCACGGTGCCCAGGATACAGTAAGTGCTTCGGCAGCGGCAGTCCGTCTGTCAACTGGCTGTCCCTCCGGGGCAGATGGTGAAAGGCTACTCCAACCGGGCCCGGAAAGCCCGCCTCACTGAGCCGCAGCTGCAGGACCACAACGACCTGGGCCTGTTCGGCGAGTGGCAGACGGAGGAGTACCAGCCGCCCGTGGCTGTGGACGGCAAGGTGAGGGCAGCGCCCCGAGGGCTCGGGACCGGGTCGTGTCACGCTGCCGCTGGCCACACCTGCCCTGCCAACCCCTGCAGGTCCCCCGGAATGAGTTTGGGAACGTGTACCTCTTCCTGCCCAGCATGATGCCCGTCGGCTGCGTCCAGCTCAACCTGCCCAACCTGCACCGCGTGGCCCGCAAGCTGGACATCGACTGTGTCCAGGCCATCACCGGCTTCGATTTCCATAAAGGCTACTCCCATCCCATGTGCGTGAGGGGCCTTCCCCGGCGGCCGGCAGGAGGGCTGGGGCATCCTGGCGCAGGGGCAGGAAGTCCATGTGCGGGTTGAGGCCATTTTCCAGGTTTTACTCTGCATTTGCGAAGTCAGCCTTAACACTTTACCTTTTACTTCCACACTTTCACTCTGGCGACTCTGCAGAGGCAGCAAAACCAGGGAAACCGCATGCTCCTGATGTCAGATGGAAACCGTCTCCTGGGGGCGGGGGCGGGGGAGCAAGCAAGGTCAGCACGCGTCCTGGTTAGGTGGCCTCTGTCCGCCCAGGGCGGGGGGCCTGGGGAGGACGCGGTGCCAGAGTCCACAGGCCTGCCTGGTGCATGGGCGCTGTCAGCGGCTGTGGCTGGGATCACGGCGCCTGACGCCGGATAAGCCTTCAGGGCTCCGAGCGCCTGGGAGCCGCTGGCCGGCCTCCGCAAGGGAGAGGAGAGGCCGGAGCAGGCGGCAGCCTCAAGTGAGGCCGTCCGCATTGCGTGCTTACAGAACGGACGGGTACATTGTCTGCGAGGAATACAAAGACGTGCTCCTGGCCGCCTGGGAGAACGAGCAGGCGCTCATTGAGAAGCGGGAGAAGGAGGTGAGCCGTTTGGCCAGGGCGGGGACCTGAGGTGCGAAAGCAGAGTGGCAGGGGAACATGAGCCCCCAGGTGGGGCAGGTGCCTCATTTGATGGTGGGTTAAAACAGGATGGGGCGCCTGGGTGGCTCAGTTGGTTAAGCGACTGCCTTCGGCTCAGGTCATGATCCTGGAGTCCCAGGATCGAATCCCGCATCGGGCTCCCTGCTCGGCAGGGAGTCTGCTTCTCCCTCTCCCTCTCTCCGTTTGTGTTCCCTCTCTCGCTGTGTCTTTCTCT